AATACTTTGTGTTGGACGCTATTTGGTTGAAAATTGGCCATTTTGAAGGAAATTAACTAAACGCTCTTCAACTTTTGACAGCCTCCGCATTTTTAAACATTGTTATACCAGTGTTCATTCTTAAAAAGGAATTTTTGTTTGTCTCATGCTGAGGCTTCATTTCTGCATGTTACCTGTCCAAAAACACTATATTTTGGCTAGTTAAACTTAAGTGAAAAAAAGTCGTTTTTGCAAAAAATCTGTACATAATGCCAAAAACTAATTTGGAACACTGCCCTATTTGGTAACAATCAGAAAATTTATTATATGATTGATTTTGTTTTGATTTATACTTTTATTCAGTTTTTAAAAGCACATAAACATGACAATATTTGGGAGACTATAACATACATTCACAGTACACTCATCCTAAACATTCCATACACATTTCATGGTAACCATACTCATTTCATATACCAAGTTATCTAAGTATTGGGTCTGTAGTAAGTATTTATCTTACTGATTGTGTGTACCATCATAACAGAGCATATTAAATACAAACATTTTATGTATAATCATACACACAATAGATCTGTATAGAACTTTTCATACACACCATACATGTACATCTGTAAAGAACACTCATATTAAACATTTCATACACACCATACATCCTTATAGAAATATTCATATAAAACATTTCATACACACCATACAACTGTAAAGAACATTCATATCAAACATTTCATACACACCATACAACTGTATGTAACATTCATATCAAACATTTCATACACACCATACATATGTAAAGAACATTCATATCAAACAGTTCATACACACCATACATCCGTATAGAAACACTCATATTAAACATTACATACACACCATACATCCGTATAGAAACACTCATATAAAACATTTCATTCACACCATACATCTGTATAGAACATTTCATATACACCAGTTCTGTACAAAATATTTATCTCTATACATGATGTACATTTAAAGAAATGTATACCGGTATATACATGTATATGAATAGCCCTCACACTATCATTCAACATATTCTACACAAGCAAATACCTTAGTATGATAGTATATATATCCAAGATGTCATTTCAAAACATTGGAATAAAAACTAATTATATTAGTCATGTGTTGTGGTTTTCATAGTCTCTATATGCCTTTAAGGAAATTATAGCTTCTTCTGAGCCAGTTTAATTCATCACGTGATAGACTGAATACGTTTTTTGTAAACTTGATTCTGAACAATACAACAATGCCTGTTTATGTATTCATAATCAAACGATAATTCCTTATTATTGTCAATAACGTACTCAGGTTTTGTAAGAAAACATTTCACTTGTAAGCTGCCACATTTTAAAAAGCAGTTACATAAAACAGCATACATATATTTCCATGCTTTTCAGCACACCCTCATCTCAGCAAGAAATTTACCCAAATGACCCCTCTCATCTAGTACATCATTCTCATGAAATACAGTTAATACTTATAATTCTACTTGACAACATGTATATTAGTGTTATGGAAAATATATTGGAACATGAAGAATAAAAACCTAAATGAAACTGGTTTATTTACCTTGCCAAAATAAACAAAACAGAGAAAGTTGTGATTATCAGGTGAAGTTGATATTTTTGTATTCTGAAACACTCAGCCTAAGCCAATTAATTAATTAATTAATTTCAATCAAACAGGCCATATAAGGCCCACTTACAGGTTGAGAACACATAACAGTTCACAATAAATTACATACTACAATAGCACAGACCAAATGTAAAATGATCAAACATTACATACATGATACATAACATACAAACAGACTATGCGTAATGAATTAAAAACAAATCTGTTTCATTTCTGCTTGAAACGTTTTGAGTTATTCGCTAAAGAGACTATCTGTCTGAACATTAAGGAAGCTAAACAAATTCTGACACCTAATTAAAACACTGTGTTTCCTTACGTCAATGCGACTCTTGGTGGGATAAAAACACACTGCACAGCTGGACCTAAAGAGATCTGTTTGGAACCATTAGATTAATTTGTTCAATAAGATATGGACAGTCGAACATACTGATTACACACTTTAAAAGGAACAAGTGTTCTAAATACATTCTACGTTTTAAAAGAGTAAATTAAAATAAACACATATATCTTCATAAGATAAAACATCACAGTCAATCTTTGCTTTAAAGCATAGAATTTTCTCTAAACTACTTCTAATTTATGTGCCAGAGTAGTTCGATATGTACGCCATATTTCACAAGAATGACAATTAGAATGACTGTAAAATGGCATGAAAATTAACTGAATGACCTCAAAATTTTACATACGCTCCAAAACAAGGCTTGTAAACTGGCTATCTGTCAAAAATCAACATTGAATCCAATATTTCACGAATCATAGCACATCTCCCTATCTCAAAAAATTAGTTCATAGTCAATTACTACTGCCATTATCCAAAATGTATAACTGAAATCGCGAAAAAGCATGTTATTAAGCAGCACGTACAGTACTTGTTTATTGTTATTACAGGCTGCAGCGACTTTAACAAATGACACAAATGTGTACATACTCCCGTCTTGCCGAAAACGTCTTCTTATAAAAAGCCTTCTCGTGCTTTCCACAATCCCATATTCTACTAGGCTGTTCCTGGTTGTAGAAATGCTGTTGGTAGCATTGGTCACGACGGTTGACACCTCCATGTGACACGATTTGGTGAAATTTGGCAAAATTAACACGAGGTATTACAGGAGCCGCCATATTGTTTACGCATCGCTAGGGCACACTGCGATAGTATGTACGATTTGATTGGTCGGTACGAGCTTGATAGAACACTGCTCATTGGTCGACCAATTATTGAGCTTTATTTTGGAACAGTCGAAAATGACTTCGGTGGGTGAAATTCTTGTGGAAACCTCTCCGTGTTTTTTGCACTGAAGTGCACATATTTTTTTTACACTTAAGTGTAAAGAGTACATAATGGTCATTCGGTTTTTGCACTTAAGTAATTTATGTATTTTATCCTAAAACGGCCGCCCATAAATATCGTGATATAGGCGCAACATTGAGTAACATTATATATAAATATCTATCTATCTAAATATCAGGTTAGCATTCCAAATGTGTTGGGTTTTTTTATATTTTAAGGAATGTATCAATATAATGGATTAATCCAAAACACAATAATGTGTACTATTAAAAAAGAAGTTCTCCACAGCACAGATAAAACTAGGCATTGTTGTACGGACGATTAATGAATATTGTTGTAATAAATGATGACAGACACTTTGTAATCCAGTGTCAATAACACTACGAAAACGTTTCAAACAAAAGGGTTGGAGTTTGGGTTACTGGATCATTCCGCACGATCTGTTCTTCATCATGATAAGCAACAATGCCTTTTTTTTGTTTTGGTCTCTATGCCTTACATACTTCCTGGATGTTGTTCATGAAATTTTGTGCCGTTTTCGTGTTATAATTTTGCCTTTTTTAAAGCTTTTGTATTTTATTATGTAATTGTCAAATACGATTTTTATCGTGTGGAAGAAATCATCTATCATAAACAAACTTTTCCTTTAACTTTATCCATATTTAATTCAATGACCAATGCGTCCTTACAAAATGATGGTCAAGTTATCTAGGTTATTCAACATGTTTGTTTTTTCAATAACGTACATTGTGTATATGCCATTCTACAGTTTGTATTGTTCGATTTTGGGACTTGTGAATCACTTTGGTATAATAAACTACGTTTGTTATACCAGATAATTGTATCCACCGACAATGATTCAATTGCTTTCCTTGATTGATCATCCATTGAAGTTAACATTACAAAGCGTAGAGATATCGATAAAACAATCAATCTGGTTTTGTACAAACATTCGCATATGTTTGTGTATTCGTGGGCTTCAGTCTTATAACTCTGTTGTTGTACAGTTTCAGCTTGAATTGCACATAAAAATAAAAACGTACGTAGGGACAATGGAATGTAGTTGATCGTAGGGGCTACAAATTGCATTTGCCTCAGTTTATAGGTAGTGTCAATAAGTTATAATAAATACCAGTCAACAGGAAAAACACTATTACATGTATTATCAAACCCACGCACACACACGCACACACAAATACAAACAAACAAAAAACAAACAAAAAAGGACAATCTGGATGCGTAGGACTTTAACATGTTACAAGCTAAGAAAGTGCTTTATTTGCAAAGCCATATCTATAAAATCCTCAGAAATAAAATAAAGAAACATTCCTTTCAACAAAGTTTTCATGAGCATTTTATAGATTAGGTGAATTAAGGAGTTGTATTTAGTGATCGTTAAAATCAACCAGGTTAAACGTTTTCTTTATTCACATGTAACATGACTAACAGATGCATATACTACGGGTATATCATGGAATCATGTTCTCTCATCAATCCAAAAGACTTAAAGCATTGAAGAGTGTCTATTTTGGGGGCTGATTACAGGTACAATATTGCTGCCAGTTTCTCCATTGTCGTCGGTGGATTGTTGTTACTGTATCTGACTTTAAGATAAAACATGAACATTTAAATAAATACTTCCTTGTTGGTAAATATATATGATAAGCAGGTCGTCGGTGTCTTCTTATCAGTGTGTCAGATAAAACAACCTGGATGTTTGCCACAAACACGAATACATACACAGGTACACCTCCGAATGCCCATTTTTTTTAAATTAATAAAACGATGAGCGATGGCACTAAGGAGACCATTTTGATCAAGAACAAACATGTCAAACATAGCAGTTTAAAGTTTTAGTAATAAAAAAAATAACACATGGTGCTTTTACTATTGACATAATACTATTGTGGCCGGATTGGTCGAGTGATTAACACTCCGGCCTTCCACGCAGGCGGTCGGGGTTCGGCCCCCAAAGTCGTCGCACACATGGATATTCATAGTAAGTGTTTTTCTCCTGCCCACACAACTCCAACAACCCAGGTGGAGTATAAGTTGGTCCCGGGTGGATGTTGCGGTATCTGTGCTGAAGCATTCAGGTGAGTTGGCACTATAAATAATGCCGTTGGAAACACGGTCCCACTACAAACAGAACACATTACATCTCCAGCACACACGCAGGTATACACACATAGGGAGATATTAGCCAGGTGGCATAGGACTAGAAGTTAGCGCCTTATAAGGCAGCTCCTGAGGATTCCTCAAAAATTGTATTGATTAATGTCTATAATAATGTATTCAATGTATATATATGTACTGTAAAGCGCTTTAGAGTGGATTATGTTAGCTAGATAGGGCGCTATATCGAATGTTGTATATAATTATAACTATTAAACAAACAGGTAACAGAAAATAACAGAACAAATCAAACTTACATAGAACAAATGAGAATCTATACGTTAACATGTGTTACACAAAGCCATTCAAGGTTATGTCGGGTTTCTGGAATAACTACTACAGCCACTGTGAGATGATCAAAATCGTGCTTATTGTGACAATACCATACATACAAGTGAGCGGAACTATGTTAGACTGGTTGATACGTAGAAGCAGGTACCACTTGTAAACTGACGTTGATAAAGAGAATTTGATGTCTTAAGAATATGACAGTTAGACTACTGTGGATAAACAGTTACTGCAGAATTTTGAAAGATCTAACCATTTCATTATTTCGAAGATTTCTACTACATGTAGAACACGGTCGAGATATTAAAGTAGTCATTCATCTATGAACTTTCTAGGGCGATGCTAAAAAAAACTTGCACCAAGGGTCACGGCACTGTGTTGTATCTTTGAGCAAGATAATTAACTCCGCTTGTTCCAGTCTACTCAGCTGTAAATGAGTACGTGATTGGGTAGTGCTAGAATTGAAGAATGCTAGCTGTGAGCGCCGAGAAGGCAGCACCGGCTGTATGCTCCCCAGGGTTTTGAGAAAGATATTGGCTGGTTGCAAAGGCCCTATAACCACGGATAATTTGTGAACCGCTTTGAGACGACCTACGAACTAGTTACTGATAAAGCGGTAGATAAGAACCTGTTAAGAATTGTTATTATCAAGTGCGTTGTAAATTAAATCGTAAATAAGCCCTCAAGATTATGGAGAGATCCAACATTGACAATCCACTCCAATTTGATTGAAAAAAGATAATCTAGCAATATTCTATTAATCACTTTTTGTCAGGTGATTCATGTCTGGAATGTCCAGAGGGGACCTGATATTGATAAACTAACCTGGTATGTTTGTAAAGGCAGTAGAGGTATATTTATGTTCATGTTTTCAGGGGTAAAGGCACCTGGAATAAAAGTGTTCGTGAAACTATTTTTAGACTAGTGACTAGTGATTATATGTTGAAATGCAAACCCGTGGCTTGATATCAGGTTTTCATGTATACTAAAATTGACCTTTGTTTAAGATCAAATGGTCTGGAAAACCAACTTCTTCGAGATACCAAAACGCAGTGTATTGCACTTCGATGAAAATACATACGATCATGAATTAGCCTGTTTGACAAACACTTTCTGTAAAAAAGTTACCTTGTTACCTTGTTAAGTTTGATTGACAGGTTTCATAAATAAAAATTATAAAACAAAACTGTAAGCAGTCTACATCTATAAACAAACAATCTACGATAGTTTTCATATCTTGGTTACTGTGTGCATGTCAATAATTTGGTTTATCATATTGTAAACTTGGTGCATTAAGCATGCATAGAGTATTTATAGAAGCGAAGGATATCTAATCGTCACGTAAACATGATATATAAGTAGGTGTAAAGCTGCTTAAAAACACAGGCACTTCTTTGAAGTTCAATTTTATTTACACAATCCTTCTGTTAAGTACATTTTACACATACGTAGACATTGTGATATAGGCGCAAAATAAGCTGAATCGAGAAACATCAGATATATCAAACCCTTATCTCTGTTGATATAAATTTCTCCAACCTTTTACAGATATGTCTCCCGTTTTAGCCGGGAAAGATCAGCTTGTCATCCCATAGGGGGAGATAGCCTCGTGCCGATTAGCAGGTGTTCAATTGTTGCGTCATACAAATGTGTCACCGGTAATTGTGACGTCATCAAAAGTGAATGTAGTATTCATACCCCACATTTGTTTTTTGTATACACTACTGCCGAAGGGGTTGTGACTTAAATATTAGGATGGAAGAAATATAACCATCCCCTACCTTAAGAGTGAAACAGTAATCTCCAACCCTCAGTGTGTTTTATTGTGGTTATATACCCTCGGCAAAGCTTTGGTTAGACAATAAAAAAGCATCGCCCCTCGGGTTGGAAATTTCTCTGTCACACCCTCAAGGTAGAGGAAGATTCTATTAATCTACAGAAAAGGGTTTGATGTTTATAATGAATAAGTACAAAATCACTTGCACGTGCGCTGAGTAAAACATGGACTGAATATACTCCATTTAGCTGTTTTATCGTTCCTAATTAACTTCATCCCGTCGGGTAATCTTTTGAACACATGGCATAAAACAACATACACCATTTAATTATAATTCACAGTGGAGAACCTGAACAGTTTGATTCGTTTCAAGTTGAGTTGTAGACCTTTATTTGTCTTCACTGGAAAATTTAAAATCTTCTTGCATATAAATTATTACAACGATGTGCAGCCAATGACGGCACATGGAGATTAAACATACATACGTTTGATAGTTTTGTTTCTACACGTAAATATACCTTTAATTGGTTTCATTAGTTATGACTTACCATACGATATACTCACTGTTATAAGTAATCAGACTGGCAACTGTGATAACGTTAACACCTTTTCACTAGCAAATTCGGATAAACGAAATCAATGAACGTCGTGACGGCATTGAGTTTACGTGAAAATAGAAGGCGTATGTAAGGACAGGAATTGTAAACATTGATTAAGTACGCAAGTACACTGTAGTTATTGAGATAGTATACAATAACCTAGAATCTATTGTATATTAAGTTTCTTTTATGTCGTGTACATTGTAGGTGGTTTGCTCTTGAGATATACATGTAAATCGTCTCATGGTAACCATGACAACGCTGCCAAGGTGGAACGTGAATGTCTTTTAGCAAATTTGATGTCTTTCTAGTGTTATTGCTAAAATCATGTCGATATTTAGGCATTTTTAAAAATATACCTTATCACGTATAAGTAAACATAACGGAGAAATATTCCAAAAATATACCTGACATGTCAGTCACTACATATAACAATCAATTGGACGCTGTGTTCAGTGTAACGTCATTGGAATGATAAACTACAACAACTTGCATTTTGTTTCAATATTCTAATGGGTAGCAGACCTCCAACATTAAGTTCTGACCGTAGTGCAGTGTACCGTGTACGTAAAGGCAAAATTGAAAAAATAGCAAGAAACCATCTGTCTTTAGTATTTACCTAACAAATAATGCATTCTTTAATACGGTTACATGTTTTAGGAGGCAAACATATATGTAATTGAATTTGATAGACTTCATAAGTATAGTTGTCATATTTATAAGTAGAATGAACTTCTCATCAACACTGCAAAAATGTGTCCATGATTCCTGTAACGCAATGCACATTATTTCAAATTATGATATTCATTATTCGTCTCTGCTCCTCTGTCTCCAATTGATATTTTTTATATTTAATAATCTATAATAAAAAACGTTGCTTATCTAAATATTACTAAAATTACTATACTTTTGTTATGTTTTTGTTAATGTTTGTATGTTTGAATACTTTGTGATTATATGTGAACCGGGGTAGTGAGTGAGTTGACATGTTTTATTCATGGTTATTACTTGTCTATTGTAATACCGTTACGTTGGTAAATGTATTTTATTGTATCTTTTTTTAGTAGAGAGTATTAGTACATGTATACCATTGTTACGTTGCTGGTGCAAAAAAGGTCTGCGCTATCTAGGTAGAAAATATCTTCCTATTGATTTTATTGCTAAATAGCACGTCACTGCAGGCTATGGGTCTTATTTGAATGTGTACAATCCGATGCCTTGTACCATATATCAATTTTGGTTTATACAGGTACACCATTTGCAAACAAAGCTTTTCTACTGACAGGAGCGTGATTTTGTCTAAGTACTAAACGAGCCCAATGTTGGCTTTGTAAGGAGGCCAACGGGGTTTCCCCGCCATTTTCGTTTGACAAAACATTTTTTCTGAGATAAGAACAATCTTTTTATCCCTTAACCTGCTCACGTTTATTAGTCGTGTGAAGATAACAAGAAGGCATATGCTTGTTGCATTCTTTACAGTGCGGGGCAACAAACATTACTTGATGAAATGCCTTAGGAGATTTGTCTTCAGTAGTTATAAATGTTTTACGTTGATGGACCCTTGACATAAGACCATTACCTTCGATAGGTGTTCTAATCATTGTTTTTTTTTCTACCCTTCACAGTACGTGGTGAGTCTGTTATGCGTTTCATATTAAAGATGAAAATGACGAGAATTAATTTATCACAAATGTGATGCTCAATACCATAAATACTCATGAAACACATTGAAAATAATTTAAGGCGCTCCTGATGTTCTTCTACACATTTTTGCATCTTTCAAATGAAAACTTTATATTCCGACTTAATTTTACACGCAGAAATGTGTTAGCTTCGGCAATAACATCCACACAATATGATCTAATATATCATACGGTTGATTGTATGCGGTTTACTTTAGAACAACATGATTAGATAACAATTTACCGCGTATTATCGTATGTTTGTAGCGAAATCAACATCTATAGAACATTTCACTAAATTGAATGCAGATGTCACCGTCAAACATCGCCCCGATTCAACTGCTTGACTTTCCAAATGCTCTCCGAGGATAAAAACATCATGACGTTTTTTTTATACATGAACACATATGGATATTACAAAGACTGTCTGCTTAGTAATTGGGTATTAACGAGTTAACAAAAGTGTATTCACGTCAAGCGGAAGGTGTGAGTTTGTCCATTGTAGTAATTAAAATCACGTTGTTCAATTAATCTCATTATCGCTATTGCTGATGGTTTGATTTATGTGTGTTTGA